TCACGTTTGGCCTCCTCCGGTGGCTGCGGCGACTGCGCCCCGCCGCCTGCCTCCACCGTCTCGTCGCTGTCGCCCGGTGTTTGTATTTTTACTTCCGCCGGGGACGGGGGCGCGGAAGGCGAAGACTCCACCACCGGCTCCACAAAAGAGGGATTTGCGGCGTCCGCTTCAACTTTTGGATTCGGGGGCGCTTGCCCGTCAGGGAGTCGCTGGGGAAGGACTGCAGCCGCCGTAATACCGTCAACGCCCATCTCCCCAGACTCCTGCTCGGGAGTATCATCGGTGTCCTCCACATCATCGCTGGGCTCGTGGGAGGCAGCAGCCGGCGCTGCGCCAGGCCCCGCAGCAGCCGGCCGTGGCTGAGCGACTTTGCTGTTTTTGAGTTGCGTGATCTCACCCCCCTCAAGTGCGCGGTTGTACAGCAGGACGCTGGAGACCGTCACGTGGTGGCTGGTCTTCGTGCCCTCCGCCCCGTCCCCGCCAACGTAAAAGTGAGAGATCCTGTGCGGCTTGAAGAGTTCAGCCACCTCAGAAGCGACGCCGCCATCACCATCTTCCTCTTCATCATCTTCGTCGCTCGCGTATATCTCGTCCCCGTCGATGTGCACAGACAACTCATCGCCAGTATCCATCTGCAAGATCACTTGGTAGGCTGTGCCTGCTACCCACGTCGCATCACCATCTGTCAAACTCCGGCTCTGACCGCCGACCGCCACTTTCCACTTCCTCTCCTTCGTGTACGACACACCCAGGAGCACGGTGCCCTCTGTGTCATTCATCCTCACGCCCAGCAAAGGGGTGTCCTCCTCCGGCACCGTGTGGATCGTCACCGTCGCCACAAGAGCGAACTTGTTGTTCGCAAAGTAGTACGGCTGGTTCTGCCCCCTGCTTCCCACGGGCCACTCCGCCCCCGCTCCGGCGCCGCTGAACGTCACACCTCCCTCCGGGCCAGCCCCAGCACCACCTTTCACAGTCGCGTTCACGCCGCGGTACTCGTCCACCCACGCACTCCCGGCCAGTGTGTTGGACAAAAGACCCACCAGCCCTTCGGTGGGAACAGGGCCGTTGCACCCGCCCCTCGTTTGCGGGTCGACGCTGCCACTGGGTTTGCATTTCTCCAAGGCGGCGTCCATTTCCTTCCAGGTCTGCACCACTGACTTGATCTGCTCCAGCTGCTTTGCCAGGCTCAGAGCTACGAGGCCGTAAGAGTCCCCATTCTTCTTCTCGTACAGTAGTATCAACTCCTCCGCCGACGCACCGCTTCTGTACAGCAGGGAACTGGCAGCGGCGTCGTCCGCTTCTCGTGACACCGGTCCGACATCGTGCACGCGGGAATTGTCGGTCAACCAAAGATGCAGACGACCTTTTGCGACGCCTTTCTCTTCCGAGTACACCGGCGTGGTGAGGAGCATCACCTTTTTATTCTCGAGGGCTGCCGTGACGAAGCCGCTCTGCACGCCGTCCCCTCCTTGACGGTTCAGCGAGGTGCCCCACACGCGGGTAATCGGCTCGCCTGTCGGGTACCACGCTGTACCGGCCGCAGTAGACTCGTAGACTTCGTAGGACCCTCCCGCACAGGGAGCCATCGCGAGGAGGCTTCCGTCTTCCCCCCACTCCACGATGGACGGGTCCCTGCAGCCCGCACCGGTCGTACGGGACGAAAGCGTCCATTTCTTCTCTGACGGGGCTAAGCGCATGGCCAGCAGAACACTCTTTTTCTCCCTGTTGATCCCCTGCATGGGGAACACAAGCGTGCCGTCGCCCAGCACAAGACCCGAGCCTCCGCCGCCAACCAGCCGCGTCAGCGAGTTGAGACTTGCGTAAGCTTCGGGCTCCACCGCATGGGTCTTACCCCACTCGAGCTTCTTCGCCTCACCGTCTCCACTGACACTTCCCTTCACCAGCACAAGCTTCCAGCCGGCTTTTCCGGCAACTCGATTTGCAGACGGTGCACGGCTGTAGTTTCCCAGCAGCATGTAGACATCTTTGCCCCGCACAATTGTTGTTGGTCGCATGATGTCCGTTGCCTTCTTTTCAGCCGCGTCGTCTTCAGGCTGCGTGTAAAGGAGTTTTGTGTCCGCCATCGAGATCTCCGTCGGAGCAGCAGCGGCAGCAGCTTCCTTGAGGAGCTTGGACGCAATGCCAATAAGAACCCCGGCCCCTCCACATTCCTTCTTGCACTGGGCCGCAGCAACGGCAAACACCTCGCCGCCCACCTCCACGAAGCTGGGGACGCGCAGCGAGCAGACTGATCCCTCAGTGGGTTTAATTTCCTCCCACTTGTCACCGGATACCAGTGTTGTCCCTGCAAATGGATCGATGGCCGTCGCTGCGAGAGGCCCATCAGCCTGCACAGACTCACTGCCGCAGCATATTAAAAAAAGGAGGAGCAGAGCCACAGAAGAGAACAGGCGCCGCGGCATGTTGGGCCGCAGCCGCTCACTCCCTTCCTAGCGATGGATCCGCCCAGGCCGCGACGGTTGTGTGTGTTGCTGTCACTGCGGAGCGTTCAAAGCGCACAGCGGCAAGCAGCGTTTGGCCTCTTTCCTTCTGCGTGTGTGCGGGAGGAGAAGTGGCAGAGAAAAAAAGAAAGGGACAACGCAGAGGCGTCTCGGCACACCGGCATAAGAGGGATTTAAGAACGGCGCGACCCCACACGGCAGCGGCGCTGGGGCCCACGGCAGCGGTGGGCATCGCCCAGAACGCAAAAGAAAAAGAAAAAGAAGAGACGGAAAAGAGATGTGAGTAATCCCCGCAGGGCCCCCAAAAGAAAAATATATAAAAGAAATTACTTCGGCAGGTGGTGTTCCTTCACCTCACGTGTCCAGCAGCACAAGAGGACTGTGAGAGATGCATGTATATTTTAACACCTGCACGAAGAAAAAACACAGCCCATGCTGCAGGAGCCCACACATCCTTCGCCCATTTCATGCGGCGTTCGGCCGGCACTTCAACAGTTCAGTTGCGTCAAAATCCGTGCGGCGCACAGCAATGCGGCCGGCACCGCATGTGTGTGTGTATGGCGGCAGCAAACAGGAGGGGGAAAAGGGTGCGCCGCCCATGGGAACGTGCATGGGGTAGCGAATCAAGAAGGAAAAAAACCATCCCTCAGAGCACAGGAGGGAGAGAAGGATTGACCCACAGGGACGACAAGCAAACTGGGCGCAAAAAGAATAGGCGTCGTCCTTGTCAGGGTGTGTGTGTGCAAATACCTTTTGCCCCTCACCACTTACCCAGCGGCAGCGGCACAGGCAAGGGCAGCCGTGAGGAGCAACATGAGAGGTGCACGCACAAACGAACTGGAGGTGGCACCGCTATCCGAAGCATTTGCCACGGCTTTCTGAGTGGTGTTGCTGTTGATGGCACTGCCGTCCGCGTTGCTTTTCGCGTTGTTCCCATCACTCGAACTGCGGGTGGTCGCCGTCGTGGTGGCGGCTCCATCATTGTCGCTGGCGGGAGTGGTGGCGTTGGGCGTGGCAGATCGGCCTTGGGGGTTTGAAGGTGTTTGTGTACCCCCGGGTGCATCTGCTGCCCCGTTTGTTGTCTGTGCTGGCGGAGCCGCAGTGCCAACCGACGGCGTTGGTGTTTTTTGAGGGCCTTCCGCCGATTGTTCCTGACTTCCGGTGGAACCCACCGCACTGCCTGGCTGCCCCCCAACAGTAGCAGTGGAGCCCCCATTCCTCGCACGGTCTCCGTCATGAATTTGCGCCGAAGGTGACGCTGTTGCTGCATTTGCCGGTTTTTGTTGTGGTGGGCCTGCTGGTTGATGTTGTCCTGGAGTTTGTTGGGGTCCAGCCTGCGCTTGCGTCGTGGGTTGACTGGAGGTTGGGAGGTCACAAAAGCCTGACGCGCCCAGTGGATCCTCGGCTGCATTGAGGGTGACGGTGTCATCTGCGCTCCTCGACAGATTGTACAGCGCACTGTTTGCGGCCGCCGTGCAGGCCAACTTGAACGCAACAACTTCATTTGTGCCCCCATCTGTGGTGGATGCAGGGCACGTCCCCGTCGATAACCCCCCCAGGTACACCGAACCGGCCACGAAGCAGAGGGTATGACCGGCAGCGGCGGCGCTTTCAATGCTCTCCGCACCCATCACTGCCTGCGGACACTCCTTCCATGTGGGCGATTTCTCGCCGGCAACGCGCCAACGCAACTTCTTTGCATCGTTCGGGCACGACACCTCCACCGACACGTTCACATCCCCGGTCGCCCCGCAGCCGCAGCCGCAGAGCAGCGCGAGGAGCGCCAGGGCGCACACCGCACGGATCCGCACCGCCAGCGTCGTCATCGCCATCAGGCAAAATATTGGCCGTAGAGTCGCCGGCGCCAGTGAGCTTCAAGGCGGCGGGGAAGACGGAAGCAAGAGAAAAAAGAGACGAACAAGAGAGAGAGAGAGAGAGAGAAG